CCAATCATTTGTTGATGGGCACTTGGGTTGCTTTCATTTCTTTGCTATTGTAAATAATGCAGCAATAAACATGGGTATACATATATCTGTTTAGATGGCAGTTCTGTTTCTTTCAGGTTTATTCCCAGTAGTGGCATTGTTGGGTCAAGTGGTATTTCTATTTCCAACTTTTTTAGAAAGAGCCAAACCACCTTCCATAGTGGTTGCACCATTTTACAATCCCATCTGCAGTGAATAAGTCCAATCTCTCCACAACCTCTCAAGCATTTGCTGTTTGCTGCTCTGTTGAATTTTGCTATTGTTACTAGGGTGAAATGATATAATTGTTGTTTTGATTACTATCTCTCTGATAGCTAGGAATTCTGAACATTTCTTCATGTGTTTGTCATCTGAATGTCTTCTTTGGTGAAGTATCTATCCTTATCCTATGCCCATTTTGAGACTGTATTGTTTACTTTTTCTTGATGAGGTTCTGGAGTATTCCATAAATTTTAGATATAAGCCCCTTATCAGATACATCATTACCAAATATTTTCCCCCAGTCTGTGGGTTTCCTTTTTACCCTGTTAGAGAAGACTTTTGATGTGCATAGGGACTTGATTCTTAGAAGGTCTCATTTATCTATTTTATTCTCTTCTGGTTGTTGGTGTTGTTCAGTTATTCTAGCTTGAGGAATGCAATTTACAGACCCTGGAAACCCACTGGAGGGTCAGCTATGAGTGATTCCTGCACAAAGGCAATGAGTGAGTGAGTGAGTCTCCTAAGGTGAAAGAATAGATTTCTGTTTGCCACAGCAATCTAATTGTGGTATTTGTACTTTAGCAACACTAAATAAGAAAATGGTGTACATTTTCTGCCTTCAATCAATGCCTTTCAGCAGTTGTTGGGGTGTTTTTTTTTAATAATATAAAGTACAGATCCTGAATTTGAACATTTCACTTACATTTAATTTTCTTCTGGTTTGGGAGCAAATTTAAATACCAAAGCCATGTAAAACAAATATGACAACCTTTTTTATATTGAAACATACAGTAAATATAGTATCCAGGAGTAATTATCTAAAGCTGACTCAGAAAATTATTTGTTTCCTGCAGTGCCCCATTGAAACTGATTTCTATAAAGTGCTTAAACATAATTTATTCAATGTCAAGACTTAGACTCCCAGCAACCAACCTCTATCTTGCCTAGAAAGGAATTGGTGCTTCCCGTAATAATGTAGTAATAAATACTGTTTCTGTCTAGCTAACATTACAAAGCTGTAATTGCAAGTTGCAGAGCTCAGCTCCTGTATTTTGGTTCTTCATCATATCAGCAAGAGACCAAAGTTTCAGAAATCATTTCCATTAAAAACTTACAGCCCAAGGATCAAAGTTCTCCTGGGAGATTGCTGTATACTGCCATAAGGGGTTATGGACAATTTGGAAAGGAAAGCAGCTATCGCGGTTATAAGTTTGCTACTGATCCTGACTCCATAACTTTTCCTCAGTGAAAATTGCTCCAGAAAAACAGGTGTGTGTATAGTTTGTGTGGTATATTATCTTTGTTTCTAAAACAGGTATCTATTTCCAGTCTGAAAATGTCATCTTTGCCTTGAATATTTTAATACAATAAATTAGACCAAACTATTAATGTTCTCTTTGCACTCCTTCCCAATCCTATTAGTTCCTCATCTTTTACATGCCAGAGGCTGCTATACTGTAAATTTGCTGTAAATCTTTCCTAAAATTGTGGTTCACTCTTGGTTAAAAATTATGGAGAAATGATAGATTATAATATTACTTGGTAGAATATCTTGGTAAGAAGTAATTTTTCATATTATTTACCTTGAGATTTCACATTTTTCTGACTATAATTCTTTGAAAAGACAAGAGAAAGTATATCAAATGATCTCATATTTAGCTGTAAGTAATATAAATACCCAAATGGTATTCTACTACTAATGACATATTTGGTTAAAATATAATAACCTTTAAATGCAGTGGCCAAAGCCTAGGTAAAGAATATTTGTATTAAAAAAATTTATATATCTGCTGAAAAAATTCATTTTTTTTTCTTACCAGCCTTGAAGTAGTTCTCACAGACACATGTGCACACATATACACAAACACACATACACATGTTTATAAAACTTTTCAGACTCTCAAAACTTAGATTTTGCATGACAGTATATGTTATAATAAAGGATATCTCTAGGAGATTCAATTACAGAGACTTAAAAGCACTTCTATATTCTAGTATTTATTTTATACTCTTACAATTATATATCTACTAATAACACAATTTTTATGTTTAAATAGAACTTCTATGATGTTCAGTATATAAATTATAGCATATTGTACTTCCCTTCCTACAATTTGCTTTTTTGCATTCAACACCGATTTTTCAGATTTGTTAAAAAGTTTTCATATTGATATATTAAAGTGTATAGCATTTAAATGTGTACATTAAAATCCCTATCTTGAATATGCCATATTCTACTTATCTAGTAATCATCTACTGATTATCATTTATGTTGATCCTTATTTATAAACACAGGAACAAAGAAACTAAAAATATTTTTTCACTGATATTCTACCAACAATGTGTTTAACCAAGCCTTGTGAAAAACATAAAATTTGGATACATTTAAATATCTTTGCATTCAAGGCCTTAGGTAGAAAGACTATTGAATAGTTTAGAAATAAATTAAACAATAAATCAGCAATGTAAACTTAATCAAGTAATACTGCAACAATGACAAGGTTGCAAACTTCGATGAGACTATAGGAGATTCAGAAATTCTATAAATTTAAGACATGGGCTGGGAGACTACTCAAGTTGGAGGGCATTGGTAAATCAACTGGAAAACAAGAGTTTAAGCTGGCAGCTAAGATAGTTTAAAACTCAGTTCAATTCCTTGCCATCAAGTAAGCACCAACTCATAGCTGACTCTCCAGCTGGTTTTTAAAGGATGTAAATCACACAGGAGGAAACTTTCCATCTTACTCTCACAGAACCACTGGTGTATCTGAAACCCCAGAGAAGCTGAGCCTTTGGGTTTTGCTGCACAACTCCTTTCTGACTACACCACCAAAGCTTGTTTTAAAACATGCGCCTAAATAAATTCCCACGGTTCCAGATCTCACTCTCTGGATGAAATCTCAGGAAGATATGCATTTTAGTCAGTTGAGAACTAATCTGAAAAACTACTTGAGTGTTTCCTTTTTTATTTCTTTATTAGGAAAATACATGTTTAGTCTATAGATGACCCTGCAAATAGAACTGATGACTTTATTTCGTTCTTAGGAATTTATACATTTTGCCATTTTAAACATCCTAAAATAAATTGCTTGTTAAAATGTCTGACAGATAATCATGTCATCTTCCTAAAATGTGTAGTCTAAGTGATTTAGACTTCTGGATGTGGAATAAAATTTACAAATTTACAGTAGGAAATTCCCACATGGCAACCCAGATTCAAATGCCAGCCAATGTACCTCAAGAAACAACCATTAATTCTTGAGAAGGGGAGCTTGCATGATGCTGTGATGCTGAATACATTTAATAATGTTATTATTCATCTTTTGCAGATAAAGAAGTATCTTCAAAGAAAATAAAAATTGTCCCAAATACTGTGACTTTTGCTATTGTTGTTTCATGTATCATCTACACCTCATAGAAACCCTGAGCACAACAGACCTAAACTGTGCCCTATTTTGTGCCATCCTCATGACCACCACCAGGCTCATGCCTACTGTTGCAAGCATTGTCATTCATCTTCTTGTGGGCATTCCTTTTTGATGACTCTCTCCTTTTCCAACCATGGTATCTCCTTCCAAAAACTAATGCCTCTTACAACATGCCCAAAGTGAGTGAGATTAAGTTTTACTATCCTTGCTTCTAAGGAATACCCTGGTTGCACTTTTTCCAAAACAAACTTGTTCTTTTTGTCCATGGTTCAGCCAATAATCTTCATTAATACTACAGTTCAAAGGCATAAATTCATCTTTATTTATTGGCCAGCTTTCACAGGCATATCACACAAATGTCAGGAGCACCTTAGTCTTGAAAAACAGCCTTTCTCTTTAGTACCTTAACGAGGTCCCAGGCAGTGGATTTCCCCAATGCAACTGTCATTTGATTTCTTTTCTGCTGCTACCATGGGTGCTGATTGTGGAGTCAAGTAAAATGAAATGCCTGATACCTCCAAATTTTCTCCACCAATCACCTATTATTGGTCCAATTGTAAGGATTTGAGGGTTTGTTTGTTTTTTTATGTTGAGATGTAATCTATACTGGAGGCTAGAATCTGTGATCTTCTGCAGCAAGTGTTTCAAACCCCCAAGTGTTTCACTTTCTTCAAAGTTGTGTCATGTGCATAACACAGATTGTTGATCAATTGTCCTTCAATCTTGATGCCCCTTTCTACTTCATAGAGTCCAACTTCTCCAATTTGTTCAGCAGACAGACTGAATAGGAATGGAGAAGGGATAGGACCTTGATACACACCTTTCCTGATTTTAAAGCATTCAATATGCCCTTGTTCTGTTTGAATAAGTATCTCTTGGATTGTGTATAGGTTTAGCATGAGCACAATTAAGTATCCAAGAATTCTCTTTCTTCTCAATGTTAATCATAATTTATATGATCCACAGAAATGCCTTCTTTTATTTAATGAAACACAAGTAAACAGCTTTCTGGTACTCTCTTTCAGCCAAGATCCATCTGTCGTCATCAATGATATCACTCATTCCAGCCTCTTCTGAATCCACTTTAAATTTCTGGTTGTTCTGTCAATGTACATACAGTAATTTTAAAATAATCTTCAGTAAAATTTTAATTGCATGAGATATTAATGGTATCATTCAATTTCCATATTCTCTTCAGTCACATTTTTGTGGACTGGGAACAAATGTGGATATCTTCTAGTCAATTGGCGTGGTAGCAGATTTTTCAATTTCTTTGTACTTGGTAAGCACATCTAGGACTGCATAGTCCATTAATTCTTGGACATTATTTTTTTAAGATGCCTTCAGGGCGTCTTTGACTTCTTTCTTTGTTCCAACTGGTTCTTGATCATATGCTACTTCCTAAAACACCAACAACTTTTTTTAGCACCAACAACTTTTTTTATAGAAACTCACTATATTCTTTTGGCATTTCCTGCATTGCTCAATATTTTGACCATAGAATACTTCAGTATTAAAACTAAGATTTGAATTTATTCTTCAAAGTTTATTTCAGCTTGAGAAATACCAATCATGCTTTTCCTTATTTTGTTGTTTTCTAACTCAAGGTCTTTGCCCATTTTTTTTAACAATACTTGCTAGTCTTCTCAATTTGCCTTTTGAAACCATCTGTTCATCTCTCCTACATTATTTCATCTGTTTTGGGTTCTCTACAATGAAGAGCAAGTTTTAGATTCTCTTCTGATATCTATTTTTATCTTTTCATTCTTTCCTGTCTCTTTGATGACCTTTTACTTTCTTCATGATGATGTCCTTAATGTTATCCCACAACTTGTCTGGTCTTCAGTCATCAGTGTTCAATGAATCAAATCTAGACTTGAGACTGTTTTTAAATTATTGTGGAATAAATTCAAATTGTATTTGAGTCTCATGAACTTGTTTTAATGTTCTTCATTTTAAACTTGAGCTTGCATATGAATAATTGATAGTTTGTTTCATAGTGAGCCCTTGGCTCTGTTTTGATGGCTGCGTCTGAGCTTCTCACTGTCTCTTCCCACAGACATATTCAGTTTACTTTCTGTGTTTATGTCAGGTGAGGTCCATGTTTATATAGTCATTATTTAAGTCAGGAAATCAAAAGATGAATTGCACTGGGAAAATCTGCTGTCAGGGACCTCTCTGTAGTACTAAGAAGCAACAATGCCAGTCTAGAGACTAAGGTGCAACTGATCCAGGCCATGGTCTTCACAATTATTTGCTATGTATCAGAGAGCTGGACAATGACAAAAAATGACAGAAGAAAAATTGATGTGTTTGAGTTGTGGTGCTAGAGAAGAGTCCTGATCATACCACATGCTGCCAAAATAAAATAATAGGTCTATCTCAGAGAGGGGAAAACCAAATTTCTCCTTAGAGGCTAGGATTTTGAAGCTCCATCTCACATACTTTGGGCACATGGCCAAGAGGGACTAGTCCTTAGAGAAGAACATCATGGTTGGAAGGGTGGAGGGACAGTGCAGGAGAGGAAGACCCCAGATGAGATGGACTGATACAGTAACTGAATCAATTGGGGTTGGTGTGTTGGAGTCAGGGAAATTGGCTCAAGGCAGGGCCAGCTTCAGACCTGTTGTATATATGTAGAGTCACTATAAATTACAGGTAACTAATTTGAGCACATAAGACGTTCTTTAAAACATATTTGGAATAAATGATTGTATAAAATTCTGTCTTATAATCTCTGGTCTCATATCAGTAACCAAGGGCACCAGTCTTTTTTTGTTTTGCATTCCAATCACCAATTATTTTTGCTTAATCCTGACTGCATATTCAATTAATTTCCAATTGCAGAAGTTGGCAGATATCCTCATTTTCTTTCTTTTGCTTATGGTTGTGTTAACATACAACTATTATTCATAATATGTCCTTGTATCTGTATGAGTAATATCCTATCACTCATAGTATTGTATTTAAGGATATATTTTTAAATATTCCTTTTGACAATGAACGCAAGGAGATTATCCATCTACTTTCTGCAGAACAGCTGGTGGATTTGAACCACATGACTTTGGTACTGCACCATCACATCTTACCACTAGGCCACCTAATATGGCAATTTTTATACATTTTATTTCACTTTTGACAGCTACCAATTTTTCTAGAGTCAAGCTTCATACATTCTATGTTCCAATTATAAATGGATGTTTGCAGTTATTTCTCCTCATTTTGAATCTTGCCACATCAGCAATGACGGTGTTTCATTGAGTAAAATCTTTCTTCTACCCATCCATATCATTATGATAGATTCTACTTTGAAGAGGTAGCTCTTCCCTAATCTAGTTTGGAGTGCCCTCCAACCTGAGGGGCCCATATTCTGGCACTGTATCAGACAATCAGACAATTTTTTGGCATTATCCATAGGGTTTTCAAAGGCCTGGGTTTTTCAGAAATAGATGGCCATTTCTGCTTTATATTCTGTCTTATTTGTTTGGTAAGTTCTGCTGAAACTTGTCCACCACGGGTCACCCTGCTAGCATCTGAAATATCTGGCGGTATAGTTTTCAGTAAGAGAGCTCTCGTGGCAGAGGAGTAAAACACACTATAAATCCAAAGGCATGTGGTTCGAATCCATCAGTTGTGCCATGGGAGAAGGATGAGCAATCTCCTCCCCTGTGATTAGCAGCCTCTGAAAAGCCACTAGAGGGTCAGCTATAAGTTGATTCCGACTCGATGGTACTCAACAACAACAACATAGCTTCCAGTGTCACACACAAGCCACCACAATATGGTAAACTCACAAGCTATTCCTAGTAAATAGCAACTCTTGGGATTTATGTTCTCTATGTCACATATAAGATATATGATAATGTAAGCTCCTTGTATACTACAAAACTGCAACCCAAAAAATGACATGAAAATTTTACTTTTATGTCTTACCCGACCAGAATCCAAAGAAGTGGGCATATTCTTTAGCTCATACACAGCAACCTGCCCATCACTGTCTCCCACCAGAAGGCAATCTGTTTGCTTGGCAAAGAGAACAGTCGTAAACTTGATTCCAGGGTTAGCATCATGTACAATCAAAGGATCCAAACTGCAATGAAATAATTTATTTGTAAAATTGGTTGTTACCAACATGTTATTTTTACCATCTTGTTGTGTACTGTCAAGTCAGAACCGACTAACAGCTGACTCCACAGTGGGTTTTCAGAGGCAGTAAATCACATGAGAGGAGAAATTGCCCATCTTTCTCCCACAGATGAACTGCTGGAATTGAATCGCCTGCCTTTGGGTTGGCAACACAACTCTGATTCTGTTTGTTTGTTATTTCATCTTTTAAAACCCTGTTCAAGTCTTTCTAAACTCAATATAGATGCTTTTCATTTCCCATTCATTCAAAATCTTCACATGTTCAATGAACTAATTTCAGTTCTCTCTCATTGATTATTTCGAACCCACTAATAACTGATCCACCACTTGAATTTTGTTGCTATAAATCTAATCAGAGGAGGTTGTCCATCCATCTCCTGAAGAGCTGCTACAAGAATTGAACTGCCAGAGAGATATGACCTTTAGGTTAGCAGCACAACCCTCTATTGACTAGGCCACTAGGGCTTTCAACCAAGTAAATTAATTTACAAGTAAGACTTAAATACATAAATTTAAACTCCTTAACCATATAGGAGTTTGTCCCAATTGAATTGTGAAACATAAGACAATATTTTGATTAGGAGAATTTTTCTATCCTTCCTCATCCAAAAGTAAACTACCTAAAAAAAATAATATAAGAAGCTCTGGTGGCCTAGTTCATAGTGTATTTTGTGGCCTTGAAAACTCAAAGATTCTCTGTGAGATGGAATTGACTCAGACAAAGAGACACAACTTTGTTCACTTCTGAAGAAAGTTGCCTGAGAGCTATAATTATACCAAAAGAATTAAAATCTAAATAATTTCTCTAATAATTAATCATTTCATTGTTGTGTTGTTGTTATGTGCCGTTGAGTCGTTTGCGACTCATAGCGACCCTATGTACAACAGTCCTAAACCATGCTCTATCCTGTGCCAATCTCATTGCCTCTGACACACCCATCCCGATTACTCCAGTCACTGAATCAATCCACCTCATAGAGGGTCTTCCCTTCCAGCGCTATCCCTCCACCCTACCAAGCATGATGTCCCTCTCCAAGGACCTGTCTCTCCTTACAACATGTCCAAAGTATGTCAGACGAAGCCCCAGAATCCTTGCCCCCAAGAAGTAGCCTGGTTTAGCCCTCTCCAGGATGAATCTGTTTGTTTTCTTGGCAGTCCAGGGTACATTCAATACTATTCTCCAGCACCACAGCTCAAAGGCATCAATTCTCCTTCTATTCTCCCTAATCATTGTCCAACTCTCTGATGCATAACAAGTGATTGCAAAAACCATGGCCTGTATCAGGCACACCTTGGTCTCCAGAGACACACCGTTGCTCTTGAGTACTTTAGAGAGGTCCCTAACAGCAGACTTTCCCATCGCAATACATTTTTTTAATTTCCTGGCTGCTGGTGCCAAGAGTGTTGACCATGGAGCCGAGCAAACTGAAGCTGTTAACAATCTCAATCTCTTCGCCATCCATCCTGATGCTGCCAATTGGTCTAGTCGTGAGAATCTTTGTCTTCTTGACATTGAGCCTCAGTCCATACTGAAGGCTGCAGTCCTTGACCATCTGTAGCAAATGCATGAGGTCCTCCTCAGTTTCAGCAAGCAGGGTTGTGTCATCTGCATAACACAGATTGTTAATAGTGACGCCACAATTCTCCTCATAGAGCCCAGCCTCTCGGATAATCTGCTCTGCATATAGGTTGAAAAGGTATGGAGATAGGACACATCCCTGGCATACACCCTTCCCAATTTTGAACCATGAGGTGTTACCCTGCTCTGTTCTGATGACTGCCTCTTGGTCCAAGTATAGGTTTTGCATTAGCACAATTAAATGTTCTGGGATTCCCATTCTTCTCAGAGTCAGCCACAGTTTGTTATGATCCACACAGTCAAACACCTTTGCATAATCAATGAAACACAGATAGACATTCTTCTGGTATTCCCAGATTGCAACTAAAATCCATCTAACATCAGCTACAATATCCCTAGTACCCCTTCTAAACCCAGCCTGGACTTCCTAAAAAAAAAATTTTTTTAGTTATTCCTGGAATTTTAGTGTATATTTTTTATAGAAGAACAATGTTTAATTTATTAATTATTAAATTCTGGGGTAAAAGAATAGCATTAAGAATAACCTCACTATATTTTACATTATTTATATTAAACTGCTGGATATTGAAAAGCCAGCTGTGTTGTGACTGAGCCTTCACTTTGGAGGCTCCCCTGTCAAGCTGCTGGATTTTGGATTTTGAAAGGTGAGTTCTTTTCATTTTGGTTAGAGGTTGGGTGTGGACTGTGTGGTTACTTTTATTTTGCTCACAACCATGTATGAGCTGATTAAATTTGCTGATTTGGCTAACAACAGCTGTTGGGTATTTAAGAGGCAATCCGGGTCTGTGACAGGGGCCTGGATAATGAGAAGGTGATTGGGTCCTTGGGCCAAACACCCTCAGGCCTGGTTTTAATTGTGTTTAGAATGAACATGCTCCTCAGTGGCACAGCACTGGTCTGTCAATTTGCTCTACTGAGGTAACTTGGGGTTGCTGTGATATTGAACACTATGCCACTAGAATGACAAATACCATTATGGTCACCCATGGTGGACAGTGGTTGGTGGAGCTCCTGGATTAAGACAGGCTTGGAACCAGGAACTCTCTGAACTTAGTTACACAACAATAGTTATAGGACAGGATTCAATCTTTTGTCCATAGGGTCACTATAAGTCGTGTTTGACTCAATGGCACTTAACAACAACAACATATTTAACTAGAATGTACTTCCTAACTAAAATAAAAAATAGTATGTTACAGCTGAATTATTAAACACTTTATTGTAGAATTGTATAAATTTTCCTCTTTAGAAGGATTCTGGATTTGAATAGCACCAAAATAACCTTAAACCAAATTTAGTGTATACAACTATGAACGTTTTGAAAGCAAGGGGAAAGAATAAGTAGATATTGTTTAAAAATATTATTTTGTCCTCTTTATTTACCCTATTATAGAGATTCTCTACTTACCAGTGATTAGATGCTTGACTTTCTTTTGTAGGTCAGCTTATTAATAAAATTTCAAGGTAATTATCATATACTTAATCAACTTATAATATCTAAAGAGATAAGTAAGGCAATTATTTTAATTCAAATACTTTCCTAATCATATAGCATAAATAATTAATATTGTGTCTGGTATATATTGTTAATAATAAGGGGTTTTCATTATGTAGGAAACCATTTCTTGCTTGAACTTACTACAGAGCTCTCTAATCACTGTCAAAACTATCAGGTATCAGTTTGAACTGCTTCTGTTAGAAAGCTCCTCAAGAGGAAATGTGGAAGAAGGATGGGCAGTCTCCTCCTATATGCATTACTGCCTCTGAAAATCTGCTGAAGAGTCAGCTATAAGTCAATTCTGATTCAATGGAACACAAAAACAACAATAAGAGAAAATATTAACACTTACGTGCTGATGTGAAGGTCCCAAATCTCCACTCTGCTCTCATTGGCAGCTGCAAATACATAGGATGATTTTGGAGACCAAGCAATATCATAAACTACATAAGTAGTTGGATAAAAGGTCAAAAATGGCTTATTGTTGTCCTGTTGCCATATAATAACACCCCAATCTGCAGAACAGCTTAGGAATACATCATGAGAAAAGGGATTCCATGCTATTTTATACACAGGACCCTAAAAGAAAAGGAATCAAATACTTAGGCAAAGAATATCTAACATATTAAACTTGAAACTTAAAAATATTAACTTTCACAGACTTACACACTTACCTACTTACATACTTATACACTTATATGCCACCCTTGCATATGTATTACTACAGCCAAAAGTAAGGTAATAAATTTAATCTACCTTTAATCAAGGAAACAAAGATTCTCACCCCTGGGCCTATTGGCAGCATCAGTATAGATGGTGAAGAGATTGAGATAGTTAACAGTTTTAGTTTACTTGGTTCCACAGTCAACACTCTTGGTACCAGCATCCAGGAAATCAGACCAATTGCATTGGGAACGTCAGCTGTGAGGGACATCTCAAGAGTACTGAAGAGCAACAATGTCAGGCTGGAGACTAAGGTGCACCTGATCCAGGCTACAGGCTTTGCAATTACATGCTATGCATCAGAGAACTGGACAGTGAATAGGGATGACAGAAAGAGAATTGATGCCTTTGAGCTGTGGTGCTGGAGAAGAGTGTTGAATATACCATGGACTGCTAGGAGAACAAACAGGTTTGTCCTGGAGAGGATGAAGCTGGAGTGTTCCTTGGATTCAATGATTCTGAAGCTTCGTCTGACATAATTTGGGCATGTTGAAGGAGGGACTGGTCCTTGAGAGGGATATCATGTTTGGGAGAGTGGAGGGATGGCACAGGAGAGGAAGACCCTCGATGAGATGGATTGATTCTGTGAGTGGAGTGGTGGAATGAGTGTGTTTGAGACAGTGAGGTTGGCACAACATAGAATGGCGTTTAGGGCTCTTGTACATAGGGTTGCCATGAGTCACAAGCAACTCGATGGCACATAACAACAACACCCTTAATTACTCATCATCATCAATGTCTTATTGTCTTAAGAGTTGAAACCAACTAATGGCTGATCCTCAACTGTATCTGAGATTGTAAAACACATAGCAAGAGACTGTCCATATTACTCATGAAAATTATCCATATAAATGACATATAAAATATATTCACTATAATACTTGCCAAATAGTAATATATATTATTCTTACTTACTTTTAAAAGCAATTCTTTTCAAGAAAAAAACAAATGGAGAAAGTACATAAGATATAGATGGAATAATTATTTAAAAAGTAGAGTAGGTGTGTACTGGAAACAACTTTTATTTTGGGATCAAAATGTTATCATAATCAATGTTGTTTTAAAAAACACATAAAAATATGCTTTAACTTCAAACAAAAACTATCTGGAAGCAAAATAAAATAATTTGAGTTGAAATTTTTAGCTAAAATCTGCAAATTTATTGGATAAGAAAAAAAATACTATCTTTTGCAGAAATAGTACAAAAAAAGTTCCTTTTTTACAGACCACCAGTTGTTGCACAGGAAAAAGACAGGCAATCTTCTCTCAGCAATTCTACTGCCTCTGAAAACCTACTTCAGGTCAGCTATGTGTTGGTTCCAACTTGACAGCATATAACAACTATGACTAGAATTAAAGGGAGCTCTGGTAGCTTAGTGGTAAGGAGTTGCCCTACAGGAGAAAGATGGACAATCTCCAGTGTGATTTGTTGCCACTGAAAATATGCTGGTGGATTTGCTATGGGTAAGATCCAGTTTTATGGCACACAACAGTAATTAAACTAACCTTATGTCCTCTATAGGTGTCCAGATATTGTTCATTATATGAACAAGAACATTTGTGAATATGGCCTTCTTCAGTACCAGCCAAATAGATATTTGAGTCCTACAACATAAAAAAAATAAAAATGAATTGGCTTTTACTGCATTAGTAAGTGTTCTAAGCAGATTATATATAAGTCAAGATCTTTCAAAATTCATTTGAGAACCTAAATGAAAATGCTAACTTGAAAATGTCACTAGTTGAGTTGGCCTCAACTTATGAACACCTAAAAGTGTAACAGAAAAAAATATTGTCTGATCTTCAGCCAGCCTCACAATCTTTGTATGTTTGAGTTCATGAAGATAGTTTGGGTGTTGTGGGGTCTTTTTATCATGATTTTACAATAATTAAATGACCTGAAAGATTACTGTAGCAAAGAAAATATATTCTTCGTTGGAATAAAGGCATAGACAATTTCTTTCTTTGTTAGAAATGGTATAGAAAAGAAAGGTAAGGAAGAGATTTTTAACATTTACAGGAATCTGAAAAACAAGTTATAAGCACTGAGAAACAATACTCTTTCATTACAACAAGTCAGAGAGAAGATATCTAACTTAACAACAACCAGGTAGGTCTGCAACGCTGAAGAAATAATTATTGCTGGTTTTGAGAGATTGTACTAGATGATCTCTCAGACATCTTTAATTCAAAATATATGGAATAAATGTTGTTGTTGTTGTTGTTGTTATGTGCTGTTGAGTCACCTGTGACTCATAGCGACCCTATGTACAACAGCCCTAATGCATTCCCTTACTTAGGTCATAGGAAAAGTGTCTGAAAATTTGCATTCTATTTCTTTATAAATAGAATATGGTCAATTTTACATCTTCTTGTTTGCTGCTGGTTCTGACTCTTCACAGACACATATAACACAGTAAAACTGATCAACAGGGTTTACCTGGCTACAATTTTTATTGTCAAGTATTTTTTTCACAGATTCCCTGAGCGTGTGTAAACTGTCAACCTATCAATCAGCACCTAAGTACATAAACATTTGTGCCACCAGGACTGTTTGTGTATTAATACCAGGCTATTCATTTTTTCATAACAGACTGAGATTTATTAACTCAAAAAGAGCACTACATTTTTTTACACATCCCATTGCTTTTGAATTAGCTAAATAAGCAAAACTTTAGCTCTTTAGAAACTTCCTGCTTTGTATAATCCATAAAAAAGATGCCCAATATCTGCTAGTGGTGAACAGCAGAACCTTGGATAACAGATTTGAGTCTTGCCTTATCCTGTACCATCCTCAAGATCTCTGCTATGTTCAAGCTGACTGCGGCAGTAACTATGTCAAATCCATCTTGCTGAGGGGCTAGACAAGAGAAATCCTAATCTGCTGCTTTCTTTCAAAGTTCTCTGATCCAGCAAGTTATAAATATTGGAGAGGATGTGGAGAGAGTGGAACTCTCATACACTGTTGGAGATAATATAAAATGGTACCACGCTGAAAGGCAGTTTGATGTTTCCTCAAAAAGCTGAACATAGAAATTCCATATGGCCCAGCTATTCCACTCCTTGAAATATGTTGTTGTTGTTGTTGTTGTTGTTGTTTTAAAGTGCCGTTGAGTTGTATACGACTCATAGCAAACCCTATGAACAAAAGACCTGAACACTTTTATAACTTTAGTCGTTTCTCCATGTTCATAGAGTTTCCGGAGGCAAGCCATTTTGGAAGTGGATGCCACTCCTGCTTCCAAGCTGGTTTTAATCGGGAAGCTTCACCAAACACTGTCCACCATGGGTAACCATTATTGCATTTGGCAAATCAGTGTCATAGTGTTCAACATCACAGCAACCAGGAGTTACCTCTGTACAGCAATGCACAGACCAGTGCTATACCACCTAGAAGAATGTTTGACCAAAGAGCAACAACAATTTAAACCAGGCCCAAGGGCCACAGATTAAAATCACCCACCTTGGGCTTGGGAGCATAACTTTCTATCTACTAGGCCAACAGAGCTCTCTATGTTGTCGTTGGAATATAACCCCAAGAAAATTAGAACTGAGTCACAAATGGAGATTTGTTCATCAATGTTCATAGCATCATTATTCACCATCGCAAGAACATGGAAATAGGCCAAATGTCCAACTAATTGTGGCACACACAAAAAATACTAGGCAGCATGCAGGAGTAACTATTTCTTAAATTACCACTTAACTTGGGAGGGAGTGGAGAGCATTATGTCCCATTAGGGCAAATAGTGTATAAGACTATTATTGTAGAAATAGAAGGATAACTAGTAAAAGGGGTGTGAGAATCTAAGGAGGGAGGGTAGGAGCAGAGGAGTAAGAATGACAAGGGAGACATCATAGGGCTGCACAATTTGATGGGTAGAGGCAGGGGTGGGTAAAGGAAATGGGAAAGATGAGACTGGGATCTAGAAAGACAGGACAATGGTGGGCATATTTTGGTGCCGATTAATTTTATAAAGTATAGAAAATGGGAGTGATTGTAGGAAACACCATGTGAATGAACATAGTGTGAAAAACAATGTATATGAATGTTGTAAGCAAACTACTGTTGTAGATTGTCGTCATTCAAGCAAGACTCACAGTGATTCTACAAACAAAAGACTTAATGCCCTTCCATAACTATCATCAATTCGAAGTTCACAAAGTTTCCAGAGGCATGTGGTTTAGGAAGTAGATGCCACTCCTGCTTCCAAACCTATTATGTATGTTACTGTTATTGTATGTTATTATATTGTTATCGTATGCTATGTTATTGTATTGTTTTTGTATGTTATTGTTTTTATGTGCCATTGAGCTGCCTGCAATGTATAGTGACCCTGTACAGCAAACTACTATAAAACAAAAATGTATTTAAAAGAAAAAAAAAACCAACACATAGCTCTCTGATCCAGACTTCCACTTTGCTGCTAAACAAAGAGACCCCTCTGCCTCTTCCTTCTTGGTGACTCTTTATACTGCTTGCCTTAGGAAAATGTCTTGCCCCATGCATGTAAACTGTCAAGGCCACAGTAAACAACTTGCTGTGCAACACTGCCATCTCATGTTTATATCTTTTTCTTAATGTGCCCCAACGCCCTTGAATTCACTACACTTACCAGACTAGCAGCATGAGCGTCATTGGAAGTGTTTTGAATTCCAGAATTTGAGACTTCACTTCAGTCCTACTGAAGCCATACTTAATAGTATAGTATAACTACTAAGGCTCATGCAATGTTAAATTACACAATATATTAAAATAAAATTGCTTTTAAAAGTGGAATTACCAATTTTTTTACTCACCAGCAATATACAAAATCTCCCTTTTAAAAACCACATTGTCTTCTACAGTTACTTACATCTGAAATTCTATTGAATCTTTCATTATGTCTCCTAATACCCAAAAAGACTTGAGGGCATTATGTATAATATGTTAGGGAGGCTGTCAGCCAAAAGGTTGGTTGTTCAAATCCACCAAGGAAGAAAAACTGACAGTCTTTTCAGGTAGAGATACAGACTCAGAAACCCAAAAGAAGGTCACCAGAATTTGAACTCAAAAGCAGCAGGTAGTACTAAATCCCAGTCAGTGAAAGGTCACATTCTAACTCAGAGGGAAGCAATTCACCTATCATTTGCTCCTTAGAAGAAGTATGTGGCAGTCTGCTACTGTAAAGATTTACAGCCTTGGAAACATTACGGGGCTAACCTCTCCTATAATGTCTCTATGTTTCAAAATCAACTACCAGGAATTAGATTGTATTTTTTTAATGAAAATATAAATAAGGAAAGTATTTATTCATATCATTGGCCATTAAGGTTTCCTCCTCTATTTCTATATCTTGACCATTTAAATGATAATCAGTCTCCTTCATATTCATTTGTATAAATTCTTCATATACTCTAAATTCTATTTCTGTATTTACTACATACATTGCACATACTTGTGCACAGATTATTTTTATTCTTTATAATGTCTCTTGATAAATACAACTTCTCAACTTTAAATAACTGGTATAATGAATTGTTTTATAGCTAGAACATTGTAAACTTAGTTTAAAAACTATATTCCTCTCTCAGAAGCTTTCTTTATGGATAATAATTTTTCCAAAGAAATTTGAAAGAAGGTAAAGTGATAAACTATGATGTTTGCTGTTGTTACGTGCCATCGACTCACTTGCAACTCCTAATGCCACTATGTAGAAGAGCCCTAAATGCCGTTCTATCCTGTGTCAACCTCGCTGTCTCAAACACACTCATTCCCACCACTCCACTCACAGAATCAATCCATCTCATCGAGGGTCTTCCTTTC